GCGCTATGAAAAGGTGGGAGTTACCACCCTCTGCCTTCACAGCTCAGATCCTTATCCCAGCTAACCCGTGCATCAGTCATCAATCACGCAGCCAAATGGGATGGTGTGATCAAACCTGCACAGGCTACTGTCCAGCTGGGAACAAGAGAACACAGCTGATGCCAAAAATATACAATTTGTGTGACTTGTCTATATACAGTATTAATAACATTTTTAGTTTAATGTTTACATTAACTAAAAGAAAACTAAAGACACTAAAAGAAAAAGGACAAAAAATAGCTTTTTATTATAGAAAGAACAATATTATCCAAAGAGTGGTTATACAGAAAGTATCTCTAATTGCAGTTGGCAGGAAACCTGCACTGGGTTGACGTACTGTGCTGATGACAGAAGAGGTTGATTCACAACGGATAGAGCTATTTCAGCAACAAGCTGCCCACTCTTCTGCATTCCCCCCGCCCTACGTTTAAAGCCCCAAATCAATACGTTCTGACCATCATTTGTAGTTACACTAATTCGTTACCTGCGTTTATGTCCTTCCCTTATGCTACGCTGTCAGCAAGATCAGAACATGCATTACACAGTAGTTTACAAACAAGAAGTACAGGCACCAAGACCAAAAGCAGAGGTAACGATACTTGGGTTACAGAGCATGTGACTTGCTTTTCTCCCTTCACATTGTTAGTCTCAGAGGGAAACATGACAGATGAAAATTCTTCAGAGTGCAGAAAATGTTTCCTCCCCCAGCAATCTGGTGTGAACATACAGGTTGAAAATCGAAGATTAACACTCCTAAAATATTAACTGTGGCACACAGACATTATGTTGCATAGCATTACGCCTTCCCCCCCCACCTTATCTGCTGCATTTCAAAACCAGCATTAGAAAACTCGGAGCATTTTGCTCAAGCTGGCATGATCCAGGAAGACAAACAGGACCTGGCAAATAGGTAACAGCTCACAGCTGGAGATATTAGCCAAAGGTCATATTTGTGCTGATGTGGTGAAAAAAAGAGTTAGAAGAAACTGGTATGATTCAGTCTGGGAGGATCTGGTTAGGGCAGTGGCAGCAGCCACCGACAGCGGCTCTGGGCTGGCTGCTGAGCTTTGGCCCAGCACGAGGAGGGTGGTCCTCACCTTCGCAGCAGGATCTGGGCTCTCGCTCCAGAGATCATTTTGTTGTTTCTCATCCCACTCAGTTCAAAGCAGATCTTGACCCATGTGTCAGGGAAGGAGAGACTTGCAGCACCTGCATGATCCCTCTCAAGCCCCTCCGGCCTGATCCAACCGTGGCAGAGAATCCAGCCCTGAACAGAGGCAGGTGCTGCCCGTGCTTGGGCAGTGGTAGGGACAGAGGAAGTTACTGCTGCAACAGTACACTTTGCTCCAGCACTGACCAAACAAGCACAGCACAGGATTTTCCCTTCAGAAGCACCTTCTCCTTAGCTGAATATTGAAGGGTCAGATACAACACAGAAAGCCTTAACTAAATCAAACGCTATGCGCCCATTCAATTTTCATTGCTATTGAAAAATGTCATTGCTCTGGAGATTGCTCTCTAGTGACCTTAAAGAACAGAATATCGCTCTTACATTAGTGCCAAAGAGAAGTCAAGTACAGAGGGTATGCTAGGAGAGCACACCGCATGAGGAAATGACCCCGAGCTTGCCTTATTCCCTCATTAAATAAATGATTAATAGCTCAGGATAGCTGCATTGCTCTTCAAGCTTTGCTGAAAGCTTTTGATAAGTTTGACTATTACACTACTTAACTGCCTCTGTAAAAGGGACAAAGTCTGAAGGAGGAAATTCATTGAAAAATGAACACTCCAGTTTTATCCAGAAATCCTTTTTTTTTTTTTTCCTCTCCCCCTCCACAAACCGAGCTACACACTGAACTACTTCAGAGGCATTCAGAAACTCAGAGCCAGGTGCCTGCAGAGTAATAGCAAGACAGGGTAAAACTGATGTAAACAAAACATGTTCATCTTAAAAATCAAAACAGATCAGAGTCAAGTGGGGAAAAAATGCCGCTCTTTTGTGACTCTTCAGCATTTGGATGATTCGCAGGTGGTTTCCCAGCTGTCTCTTCATTTCTTTTCGTTTTAATGCTAATAAAACAGGAACACAAACGGGGGACTCAATTCCTCATACAATGCCTTGGGGGAGGGTAAGGAGTGTAACTTATGTATCCGAAAGTCTGTCTCAGACAAATTACTTCTAGTTCACTTCCTAACTACACGGGGGGCTTTGTTTGGACACATCGGCACCATGAGAGGTTCATCCCCAGCTATCTGGTGATAGAAACAGCAATGTGTCCTCATGCCAGTGAAGAAAAGCACCAATTACTTCCCTGGGGAAAGAAGTGACTTGCAGCTTAACGTCCTGCCCACACACAGCAGGCAAACAAACGGTCCGCAAAAGCGCAGCTAATGGCTCCGGCCACGGAGAGCTCGCGCCCGGGAAGAACGCCGGCTTCTTTTCCAGGCACAGCAGCTGGTCCTGCATCAGAAGTACAGATGGTTCGAGGCTTAGAGACAAATTATTTTGAAAGTTGAGGTTGGCAGCAGATTCCAAAGAGAAAGAGCTGAGGGAGACTGATGGGCACTGGTGCCAGTTGATGCTAGAACCCGGTCACTGGCTTGTCTTTATACTCTAGAGAAGCCCAAAGATACTGTAGCAGCATAAAAAGATTGGGACAGGTCACTGGCACTTTGTGGTGGCAAAGTCTCTGTAATTACTAGAAACAGAAAATTGGTTCAAGCTTAAGAGAATCACAGCCTTTCTTCAAGAAAGGAATGCCAAGGACAACTTCAAGAGGTTAGGAATTTCTGATAGAAACACAGATCACACAGTCCCCATGTTCTGCTGTAATCATTTTATGTGATCAAGAGTCAAAGACTGATAATCTTAGGAAAAAAAATTCAGTTGTCACACCTGACAGAATCCCATCCAAACTTCTAGGACTTCAGCAATATTAACAATTTTTATTTTATTCAGAAGCCTTCATATTTTTTTTTTCAAATAAACTGCAGCATTTTCCTGCCAAAACCACATTGTTTCAGATATCTACAAGTGGTGCAAATACACACATGATGTTTTTAAAGAGTTCAAGTTTCTAAGCTCAATCTGAACTTAGTTTCAGATTGAATATTTTTTCTATACTTAAATCTTTAAAGGTTTAGTTTCTTGCAGATGTGTTGATCTGCAAAGACACAAAAACTATTCCTAGCTTTTCCAGGATCTCAGTTGAAGCTATCAGATAAAATATTGATCTCTAATCAAATTTAGTATTCAGTACAGACTTTAAGGTAAAATCAAAGATAAGTTAAAGGTACCACTGACAGTTATCAGATCAAAGAAATATCTTGTATTTTGTGAGCAATATCATATCTATGGATATGAGCACAAAGAAGCTTCCAACTCTAAACTGCTCTCACAAGGGTTGCAGTTCTCTACTACCGTTAAATTGGAGATGTAGAAGTCTATTCCTACTCAGCCCAAACCATTCAGGATGGGATTTTATGCTGAACATCACAACAACAGGCAGATTATTGGAAGTGGAAAATTTCACTCCCCATCTTGTTGATACCAGGACAGGGGTGAGGAAAGATGAGGAAAACACTCAAAAATGTGCAAGAGTAACAGAAGAGCCTAAAAGAACAAAAAAACCCTTAAGAAATAAATAATTTCTCCTCAAAAGCTGCGTGAATTTAAATAACAGATGTACTATTTTAGTCCTGCTAAGTAGCTAGAGCCCGGACCGTAAAAGAGACTGCAAAAAGATCTCAAAGAATAGGATCAGCAGCATTATAAAATGGCATGGTCATGTCAGGATGGAAAAGCAGATGGTATGGAGACAGGTAACTTAGTTTAAACAACTAAAGGTCTACGAAAAGTAAGCAAAATAATCCTGACAGAGACAAAGGGGAAGCAATTAGCATAGCGCTTAATGAATCTCCTGTGATATCACCACATAAAACCAATATGTCAGGAATTATTTTAATGCACATCATTAAGTGAATGGTATAGTGTCATATATCAGTGCAAGCGCTTAATAATATTAACAGTTTGATTTCATTATTATTAGAACAGTGCTTTTCCGATAAAACAGAAAAATCTCTTTCACAGCTACTTAGCCAATCTTCTGTTTAAACCCAATTTATGTTGCATTGTTATTGGGGCTCAAAAGTCTATTTTAAGAATGCATTTTGGTATGTGCATCCATGGCCTCAACTTGGCCGTGCAACAAACCTGAGCAAGCTGCAGGTACGTTTACATCTGACTGCAGGTAACACGTACCAGTGCTGGGGAGGGCAGATGCTGGGCCAAAGACAAAGCTTCATGCTTATCTTCCACCAAAATAAAAGTGCTAATTAAAACTGTAGATCTTTCCTACATATAAAGCACCCAAGATGATATCTGAGAGCATGCAATGCTCAGTGTTTTCTAGAGTTTAAATTGCTCATCCATTTATTTTTAGCATTTCATTCAAGCAGCATTTAAAACCAGTAAATTTTATAAATTAGAGGATATAAATTAGTGGACTTTGTAGAAGGACAATTTAGTCCAAGTGCATGAGAGAAACTGAGCAAAAAGAGTCCTTCCAAGTCTGATTCACCAAACTTGTACCAAGGAATCAAGAACCAAAGTTGTACGCTCAAACATCTTGTCTCCCTGAGGGAAATTTGCAGTTTTCTTAAGGAACACACATCTGTCCTTGTAGTTATTTAGGCTAGGTCTCTGGTATTTCACAGAAATCAGGAAATTATGCCCTTGCTTTCAAAGCTAAGCAGGCCCCTTTGCTCCCATTTCAATGGGCACAGTGACACAGAAAAACACTTCCAACTTTCAAGCATTAAGAAAATTCCTAAAACATTTTTTTTTTTTTTACATGAATAGAGAAATATTTTCCCCCACTCACAGGTTTTTGTTTTATATTTAGTTTCATTTTTTTTTAATATGTAGCTTTAGATAAAATAAAGCCCCCCCTCAAAAAAAAAAAGAAAAACCCTCACTATTTTAACTGAAGCTTCCTAAAGAATTTTCTCCCACTGAGGCACTGCAACAAGTTTCTGTGGGATGTTCACTTGCTCTAAACAGAGCTAACAGAAGACTAGATTAATTATAATCAGAACAATTCGGCAAAGACCCAAGAGGCAACTCAGCTTGATAGAGGTTAATTTCAAAAGTTCATCAGTACAGAGCATCAGAATAATCCTTTTCCTTAGCTTTTGGAATGTACCACCCCTTTCAGAGGCGCTTCGCAACGAAGAGGTTACTTGCTTGTACTCCTTTTGTTATAAATGAGAAAGTCAGAAATGTCATGCCATACATTACTATCATCATACAGGTATGTCATGGAGGACTGAAGAGAAGGCTGCAGAGTGTGCCGGTGATATTCAAAGAGCCAAAGAACTGTCCCCCACAACAGAGCAGCGACAAGTGGGAAGGGATCCTGCTTGGGCTGCGGGACATAGCCCTTTTCTACTGCCAACCGAGACAAGCCAAACAGGATGCGAGACAGCAGGTACATAATAATCTGAAGGAAGAGAAAACAGAGAATATTAGGCAAATAACACAGCCAGTAAATTTGCTAGGTTAAGTGATTTAGAATTGGTAAGCCAGCAAGGTGAAAACAAGTTTACCCAATTTAACAACAGTTGGGTAAACAGACTGCAGGTTAACATAACAAGCAATACACAAAATTGGAGGTTTGTGTCTTCCCAATATTCTTAAAATCCTATTTCTCTTCCAGTGCTCTGGTGAGCAACAAGTTACACCTGATGCAATATATCCTTGCAGCTGCAGATCAGTTGCACAACTTTTACCTTTGCTTGGTTAACAACACCGTGGATACTGCTCTTGATGTGATCACCAAAGCAGCCCTGACGGCCTGCCAAGGAAGGACAGACTCAGTGGCCTAGACATGTCTTAAAATCGTGCTAGAACATATGTACTCCTGAGTAGATTGCATATATTAATACAACTTTTTTTGGGGGGGGAAGGGATTCATCTGTGTGTTTTACCAGCCCAAATTACAGCCGGTATCAGCCAGCTTTACATTAAGCTTCCTTCAAGCAGTTTTTGTCAGTTTAGCCAATTCAATCTTCCATCACTACACACAGAGCTTTAAGTTTTGGTCAGAGTTTTGACAGTAACCAAGCAGAGCTTGGTACCTCACCGGGTTCTACACTCATAAAGTCTCTGGGTTTTGGCTCTCAAGTGGAAAGCCCCAGAACCAACCCAAAACCAACCCAAACCAACCCAGCTCAGCAGAGAGGTGAGGTAACATGACAGTTTTGGATGGGATACTTCTACTCCTACTTAAGGAAGTGCAACTCTGTAGGAAAAACAGGGCTTTTAGCCCTCAAAGGAACTTGCAGACAGTGCTCGAGTGAGGTGCACCTCAGGTGCAGACCCAAGTGTTGAACAGGTGGTACTAACACTTGTATACATGCACAGAGGATCAGGGTAAGCTATCATGCTATACTAACTACTAACCGGCCTGTAATTGTCTACTTGGTAATTTTTCTTTTTCTATTTTTTCCCTCTTTTTAAAAAACACATTTTCATCAAAAACATTTACCTGGCTATTGATGGGATTGTTCTCACCAAACACCAGCCAACCTCCAATGAAGGCTGCACAGAAAGAGTGAAGTGGCATTTTTTTCCCCAGCAGTCGGGACTGCAACGCCAGCAGCCCCTTGTAGGTGAACACGAAGTAAGCCAGGTTCCGGGAGTGAGTGTATGTGGCCTGGGCAATGGATTTCAGTTTCTCTCTTAAGCTGAAGAAAAGAAACAGGAGAGCAAAAAGTCAGTACCGCTGCAGTCACCCAGCCTGGATATGATACCCTCTGCGCCTTCTGTCCATTTGGACTGATAATTCTCTCTTCCCACCAAAGGATAATTAATTCCTACAGTGCACACAGGTGCATTTATGAGACAAGCTGCTTAGTTATCAAAGCAACGGGATGTCAGCATGACATATGTGTCTCCCTGCCTTTTAAATTTGGGCTTGTTGGAAGCGAGAAAGCTTCACGAAATGAAAGAACATGCTCATAACAGTAACACAAAAGTAAGAACTAGGATCCATACCTTCCATCCTTGAACAGAAAAGTCATGACCAGGGCATGTGGCGCTCGAATTTTTGCTCCATATCTGCAAAAAAAAAAAAAAAAAAAAATCCAACATTTTAATGTTTTCCTGTCAACAAGCTACTGTATTTCATAGAATCATGGAATCACAGAATGCTTCAGGCTGGAAGGGACCTCAGAGGTCACCCAGTGCAACCCCCTGCACACGCGGGGTCACTCAGAGCACGGGGCACAGGGCTGCGGCCAAGCGGGTTTGAAACATCTCCAGAGCAGGAGACTCCACAACCTCTCTGAGCAGCCTGTGCCAGGCCTCTGGCACCCCCACTGTCTAGAAATGTTTCCTTAAGCTCCTGTGGATCTTTTGGTGCCTATTTCTGCCCTATCGACATCGGAAAGGCAGTACTTGAGCAAATTCAGCACCTTTTCCAGCCACTCCTACAGCGGCTGCCGGTCTCGCGTTAAGCAAGGCCGGCCGGAGGCTTCGGGGACGGCCCATCCCAAGGAAACGCGGCTCCCAAGAAGAGTAAAACGCCCCACACCAAGAGCGGGAAGGAAACGACCCCTCCGCCCCCTGCTACAGCCCGGCCGAGGCCGCGGCGGCGCGCGGGGAGGAGCGAGCGCCCCGCGCCGCGCCGCACTCACACGGCGCCGTTGCGGAAGCCCTTGAGCACGGCGAGCGCGGCGCGGTAGCGGCGCTGCCGCAGGAGGCTGTTCACGGCGCCCAGCAGCGCCCGCCCCGCCGCGCCGCCCTCCGCCATGCCGCCGCCGCCGCGGGTCGCCTTCAGGCGGGCGCCGCGGTCCGCAGCCGAGCGGCGTCCGTGCGGGCGAGCCGCGCCGGCACACGCAGTTCCGCGGCAGCGCGGAGCGCCATTGGCCGCCTCGGCTGTCCATCAAGCTTCTTAGCGAATCAGCGGCCGCAGGGGGCAGCGCGTCCCCAGCGGAGGACTGGGGGCGCTGCCAGACAGGGGGCGTCGGGGGGGACGGAGGCGCTGCCCGGACCGGACCGGGCCGGGCCGGGACACAGGGCCCGGGCGCCCTGTGGCGGCCCCGCGCGGGAGCCGCGGGCCCGGCCGGAGCCGCCGCCATCCCGCGGCCCCCTTGGCGCCTCCCTTTCCCCTCAGCGCCGGCGCCGGTGGCGGGCGGGC